TTGTTTTATAGTACTGGGCTGTCAAAAGCAAAGCGCAGCAAGCCGCCACGATGGGCAGAGTTCCTGGAGTAGAAAAGCTTCTCACTCTTCAGACCCTGAAATGCAACTAAGCATCCAAGGAGGGCGGTGGGTGCAAGCACAGGGGCACTTCTGGTAACTCTGAGGCAGGGAAGGTCACCTGTGAGCACATGGAGCCAGGTGAGACCACAAAGGGCAAGCGGGACGGCCACAGTGGATACAGGGTCGGGCACAAGGTGCTAAAAGAAGACACGAGTGGCTGAGCTCAGGAGCTGGCTCCATGAACAGCAGCACAGTTCGTGGCTGGAAAAAGCAGACTCCACACAGCATGAGCGCCAGGCCAAGGAGCGCGGAGTTCAGGCAAACAGCACCAAGGCTGCTGGGAAGGAGGGTAAGGAGATCCAATGACAGGAAGATCGCACGCTGAGGACAGCTGTGGCAACTGCTGCAGAGCAAAGCCAACCACCCCACAAAGGCCAGAGGACCTCGCAACGATACCCCAGGGGAGCGCAGCACCAGGGCCACCCCAGCTCCATGAAAACTGAACAGTTCAACCACTGCCCCCTCTCACCCTTGTCTGCTACCTCCCACTTCATCAACTTGAGGCAGTTCTCAATGAATTGAGGTACTGAGTGGTCAGAAATATGCCAATTTCTTTTAATTTTATTTTTGAAGAATTTTTAAAATTCACAATGGAAATGCATTCCTTATGCAGTTAGAAAAATGCAGACCTGACCACCCAATACAGGCGCACTCTCCTGAAGATGCCCCCCAGCCACCCCGGGCTCAGAGGTGCAGTGCCACACGAGGGGTCCAGGCCAGGCCAGGAGCTGGACAGGGGGTCCCCTTGGGAGCAGAAGTCCTTCAGGGACAGTGGAAAATTGCTGTTGGGAGCAACTGAAGTAAGAAACCACTCTATTTTTCTTTCATTTATGTGCATTTCTTATTACTGTATCTGAAAAGTCACACTATTACATACAAGCAATTTTTAAAAATTCTCTAAAATTCAGAGGTAAATTCAGGGCACTCGCTAATCTTTTTTTTTTTTTTTTTTTTTCATTTTCTGCAGTACCAAAGATTTAATCAGGTCTTGGGCATGCTAGGCAATCGATCTACCACTGAGCTACACCCAGGAATCAGAGGGCAACAACAATCTGGGTGTTTTACAAACTAACAAAGCAGTTCAAACTAGATTGTAAATAAAACTTGGATAGGCACACTGACGAAGTTTTCAAGCATATAGTTTAGGCAATTCCTTAATAGTTTTTCTATTCAAACTGAAACCAAATTCTGGACGTGGTTGCAGGGAAAGTATCAAAAGTGTAACGTCACCTCATCATCTTCTATCACAAAAATCCTGAAAATGCCAGGCCAGCCTACAGAAGCGAACCAGTCTAGACACGGTCAGAAATGGACACTCACAGCAAACTGTGCAGAATGATACATTACAGGAAGTTGCCCCACTAAGGAGGACAGGGGCAGGCAAGGATGCCGGCCGTGTGTCCCATGTCTCCTCTTGTAACACTTACTGTAACTGTCACTGTTAAGCAGCAGCTGTCCTTTGCCACAAGGCCCTGCCCCACCCCACACTGGACACTTTATAGATGCCAGGTAATTATATTATCTGCATGATTATTTATCCTGCACAAAAACCTATGCATTAGTAATTATCTTCCAACTGAAGAAAACAAATTACTTGTTTTTCCGACTGGCAGCTTCTTCAGCTTGCTAAAGACAATAACAAGCTGTCGGGAGAGGCGGAACCCAAGTCCTGCTTAATAAGCCTTAATGGACCTTTGCCTTAGTCACCTTCAAGGTGACAAAATGTACACTCAGGTAACACTCAACAAGAGCGGAATTGGGGCTGCAACAAGAGCCACAGACCCGGGCACGGCAGGAAGGTGGTCTAAGGGCATCCTGTGTCAGCAGCCAGAGCTCTGGGGCAGGAAGGGGAAGCACCCCAGATGCAGAGATGCCACAGTGGGAGGGAGCAAACTGCTGGGGGGAGGTATGACGAATACCCATGCACTAGGGAAATGGCCACCTGCACCCCACAGAGCGCCCCATGGACCACGGGAAATACGCTGGTCTCAGCACACTGAGCCTTTATTTCACCTTGCTGCTGGTGGTAACTGTCACCTTTGGCAGTGCACAGGTGGACAGGGGAGGCAGTGTCATGCAGCCTCCTGCAGGAGTCTTCCAGGGAAGGGATAAAAATCGTTACTCTGGTGCATGAATATCTGTGTTCCAGAAGAGACATCTAGAGCCTGGGATATAGCTCAGTGGCACAGCACCCGCCTGTCTGGCAAGCACAAGGTTGTGGGTTCAATTCTCAGTACCAAAAAACAAAACACACAAACAAAAGGAATAGAAGAGCGATATACCAGATGCATACACATCTCCAACATGGAGGTAAACTGAGGCACAATCATGGGTCTCTTGGAGAGCTTGGGGTGCAAAAGCACAGGTAGCCCCAGGGCAGCGGAGTGGATACACACAGCCCAAGGCCCTGTTGTGACAAGGGAAGAGCATGTTTCCAGGTGAGAGGAACAACCGATTCCTGCAGGTCCACTCCCACTGGCCGGGTGGCTCTGCATAACCCAGTTGGTCTCCGACTGTTCCCCTTTTTTCACAGCATCTACTTCACAGGTTTACTCTGAGAATGGAATGAACCACGCCACTTGCATCGAGAGCAGAGCCTGCAGTTGGTAAATACTCAATAAACACTCACTTCACTACTGTTTATTGTCATCATCAAAGATTATGGTTTACAGCACATACTTAAGAAAGGACAGGCAAACACCTGGAACATAGATCTCAGGCCACACGTTCTCAACTGCGACGTGCACAACAATCACCGGGAATACCTGCGAAAAATGTTAAGCGAGAAGGCCGAGGGAACCACAGTCCTCACGTGTTCCTGGACCTGCTGGTCACGAGAGGCTGTGGCTTCAAGGCCTCAAGTTTCAAGTAAATATCTGAGCAGCACATACAATATTTCACTGCAAGGAATTAACAACAGCGATAATTTTACGAAACCAATTTCAAACGTTCTTTTTCCTTTGAATGTATTTGGTTGTCACAGGCCTCGCCATGCAGCTTGTACTCACGGTGCTCCTCCTGCTTGCAGCCTCCCCAGAGCTGGGATGGCAGGCCTGACGCTGGCCGGCTCAGCCCACCCTGGGGGCGGGGCTGGTACAGCACGTGACGCTGGGGAATGAACCGCAGTCCCTGGGCTTTGCCTAAGCTTGCCTAAGCAGGTGACTCAGTACACTGAGCTATTTCACCCGCCCCTCAAGCGTTCTTTTTCTTAAGGAATAAAGCCGTTCAATAACCTACAGAATCTACTTCTAGACGCCCGGACCCCTGCTTCACCGCGCACCACAGGAGCATGAAACCCTTCTGCAGCCTCCTTCTCCCTAGGGTCTCTCAGCCTTGGCACTAGTGACACGGGACACATAGTTCTGCATCCTCGGGAGGCTGCCGTATGCACTGCAGGACACTTGGTGGCACCTCCTACCGTCAGCTGGGACAAGCACTCTCCCAGATTCTGGCAGATTTCTCAGTGGCCAAAATCAGCTCTTCCTGAACGCCACCACTTTCCCTAAAAAGACTCCGAAAATGTCTTAGCGGGCTGGCAGCCTACACTCTCAAATGCCACACCCCAACACCCTAACGTCCACGGCATCCTTCCATTCTCGAGACATTTCCTGGACATCTCCCCGCCAACGTTCACATGGATGCCTATCTGTATGCACGTCCATGTATGCATACTGACACGTGTGTCAGGACACCGTGAGGGTCTCCCAGCGTGAGAGGAAAACACTACAGGAAAAAAGCAGCAGCGGCGGAGGCAGAGAGGCACACGCAGCATCATCCTGCAGAGCATGCGACCTCTCGTGTGCACGCGGAACCAGCCCGGGCCTGGCCTCACTTCCCAGTCTGCATGCACAGTCTGCGACAGAAAGGTTCCTGACTGTGCCTGCCAGCGTCCCTGCCCCTCTGTAAGTCAGCGTGGTCACCTGAAGCAATGGACAGTCTAGGGAACTCAGATTCTGGTTAAAAAAAAAAAAAAAAAAAAACCTCAAACAAACATTCACAGAAGAGGAGGCAGGAAGCGTCTGTGGTGGGGATCAGGGACAGAGGCCCTCAGTCACAGCGTGGCCTGGCCCAGCCTCCTCCCCGGTCCTCTTCTTTCAGTCCAACAGTCAGGGAAACGTAAACAGTGAGCAAATTCTTCTTGCACGTCCATAAACACAGTGTAACTTGAGAAATAAAGTTTACGGTACGCCCTGTGACGATAGGTGGATATTCTCCTCGATTCTTTATCTCATGTTTTATTCGGGAAATCTAAAGTTCTGGAATCTAGAAATCCACTTCTGCCCCTGACTCCCCAAACCTAAGCAAACCTCCTCCGGGTTGTCTTCTTTTCAGAACAGAAACAAAATCCTCGTGGTCTGTCCTGCAGCACACACACAAAACCAGCTCTGGGAAGGAGCTGTTCACCACACAAGGGGCCTGACAGGAAAACGTCAGTCGGGCAACAGGCGAGGCCTCTAGTACTTACCTGGCGGACAAAGGCCTCGAAGATCGAAACCGAAGGGAACTGCTTCTGCTCCTCCACACCATTACGTAACCCAACGCCTGGAATCTTTCTTGGCCCCAAAAGACTCCGAAAATGCTGCAAGGCTCCGTAACGATAATAAACAATGCACATTCCTTTTTTTATTTGCAAAACTAATTAGCAGCAGCTGCTACTGACAGGACTTTTTTTTTCCTGACAGAAAATATTTTACGTGCCGAAGTATTTCGCCTTTAACAAAAATTAAAATAAGGCACAGCTATTAACCTCCCATTACTTCAGCTGTTGAAAGAAAGAGGCCAGCATTTCCCTCAGACCCAGCCGAGGCAGCTGTGCACATCTGTCAACTGCGGGTCTTGGGGGCACAAGCGCAACCAAAGTGCCTCAACTGCGTACTTACATGTGCGGGCTCAGTTCATAAAAATTTCTATTCCTGTAATCTTCCACTTTCTCGGGAGAATAAATCGGCAGAGACCGGTAGGGGTTTACTGATATAACCACACTTCCGATGTATGTCTGTAAAAGAAAGAACAGATCATGGCTACAACAACACGGCGTGGAAAGTTTGGCATTGGAGGGCCTCCATCTCTTCAAACCAGCATTAGCTCCCTCTTCACCCTGCATGCTGCTGCATTCTTCAGGGACTCTGCCTCTGCAGACAGGCGGCCAGGAACACGTGGCCAGGAATGCCTGTTCGCTCTGTCCACGAATGCAAAGCAGATGTACATAGTGAAAATAACATTCAAGATAAATCTCCTCTCTCACCACATTCACAGGTACGGAACATGCAGTCACTGGTTGTTACTTCAAAGTTCATGGAATAAAAGAAAAGCCTTGAGGTTAAAAAAAAAAAAAACTGTACTTGACTCCTTTTTCAATTAATTTCTTAAATGTGCCACTTAAAAAAGTGGACTCTGAATAGAAGCCCTCCATAGCCCTGTCATTCTTGCCAAAAACCTCATCACCAGCCACTGGTAACGAAGCAAGACCCCTTTGGTTTCTGTCCCCTCTGGCAACCCTCGGCCAGACCTAAGCCCTAGTGCAATGGAGCTGCCAAGTGACAGCTCACGGGCCTCCACGGTGGCCTCAGGGCACACACACCACAGTGTCACAGTCACCTTGGGAGATTCAGCATAATTCTATTTTACACCTCACGTGCTATGACATGAGAACCTAAGTGTAGCACTGAAATGCACTTTCAGATGGAGAACACACTAGTTGATTTTCAATCCGATGTAAAATTGAAATTTTATGGGAGGATCAGCGCTGCCTGATAACACACACTAGCCAACCTTCCCACACTGCGACCCAGAACTCAGCCCAGCCCCAAATGCCGAGCAGCACAAGTGGCGCTGGGTTAGCTCATTCTGTGTAACTCCTAGCACAGCGCCACCAGGAAAAGTCACCTCGCTCTAAGTGACTCCACCTGGAGGAGTCACTGGAGGTTTTTCCTTTGTTTCAACATCATAAAGACAGAAGGGGGAACCAAAGATGCCAAAGGGTGCACGTGTGATAGCATCCTAGAGAGGAAAAGGTTCCTGGAGGAAAGAGTGAAATAAGGGCGCGAGGGGCCGACACCTATTTCTTTGCCTTCCAAGGACACTCAACAAAAGGTCGCTTTTTATAGCAATATGTTTTCCAGTACTGCCACCATACTGGGAGGACTCAGAGATGAAAATTAAACAAAATAAAAATGAGGAAACATCATGAACTCTCTGCTGGATTGTGTGTGTGTGTGTGTGTGTGTGTGTGTGTGTGTGTGTGTGTCTTTTTGAGCAGGGTCTCCCTATGCAGTTCAGGCTGGCCTTGAGCTCACTTTGTAGCCCAGGCTGGTCTCAAACTCACAAGGATCCTCCTGTCTCAGCCTCGCAACTTCTGGGATTACAAGTATGTGTCCCCATTCCCAGCTCTGCTGGATTATTCTAACGACTGTCACAATGATTTTAATTAAAAAGATCTTCCCCTAACCCAGAAAAGGAAACAGGTAGATTTTTCGTGGGCCTTCATCCTCCTAAGAATACAACCTGATCAAAAGTGGACAAGATGCTGCTATAAAAGAAAACTCTATGTTTTGCATTTATTTCTGAAATTCTGCCATTAGGAACCACTTCACCTTGCCTGACAAAGAATGCATCCAACTTCTATAATCGATCCCACTTCGATACAACTTTCTCAGACAAGTTCCCAAGGGGCCTCACGCTCCGAGCCACCTGGGCAGGAGATGCCTGCGACTCAACCATCATGTGAAGGCTTCCAACCAGTGCATGTGAAGCGTCACACTCCCAGGTACAACCACGTAGTCACCGTTTATTACTTCAAAGTCTACTGAGTAAGAGAAAAGCCTTTAATTAAAAAAAAAAAAAAGGAAAAGAAAAAACATTGTACTTGACTCCTTTTTCAATTAATTTCTTTAATATGTCACTTAAAAAAAAAAAACCACAGATTTGCTATTAGCAGAGAAACCAATTACTAAGTTGCTTTCTAAAGCCAGACTTCACAATGGCTGAGTTCTTGATAAAAATCTGCCTCTGCTGCATTCTTGCATAAAGAGCAAACTTGCTGCCTCAGATTCAGAACCAAAAGCCACTAGGCTAGCAAGGGGCAAGTTTGCTTTTATTATTATTATTGTCTTTCTCTTTCCTCACGCTCCATCCCTACCAAGAACAAGACCTGGCCTGCTGGTGCCCAGTAAATATCTGTCAGCGCAATGACTCATTCGCATATCGGGGAAGGAGGTCCGAGCCCTGGCTCTCACACAGTTGTCTCTGTGTTACACTGTAACACCCACTACAACACGAATCCCCTCACCTACTGTGATAGCCTCACCCAAAGAGCGCCATAAAAATTCCTCCCATTCCTGCCCACACACCCACAGCCTCTGAGACAAGACCGCGTCCCTCCTATCTGCGGCAGAGTGTGTTTCCCATCTCTTGAGTCTGGCCTTGGCCCTGCGACTTGATGTGACCACAGGGACATCATCACCCGAGAGCCCAGCAGAAGCTGAACAACCTGCGCTCCCCACACTTCTTTAATGACCAGCCAGAAGCGACCAACTGAGAGCTTAAGCTCACGCTGAGCTGTCAGGCGCAGAGCCCAGGACTGCTGGTTAAGCGATACGAGTGAGGCTCCACCATCAGCTGTCTACAGCCGCCAGAGGGATCCCAGGTGAGACGGGCAGAACACAGGCACAGCTGAACTCAGCCTGAGTTGCATCCCTGGAGAACAGTAAGACACACATACCGTATCTTACTGCTGTTCTATACTATGAATCTCTCCAAGTGGCTTGTTACATAGCAGCAGTAACAGATACACCCGCATGGCTCAACAACGTCAGAAGAACCCGGCTAGCTCTCCACTGCACTCCACGCATGAGCTCAGATGAGCACGCTCAAGCCCTGACCTCCTAATGCTTTGTCCTCTACAAGGAACCTGGCGTTCCCGTTCACAGGTTGCCTCCTTGAAGGTCCTGCATGCATTAGCCAGAGACTTAACTATGTGTAGCAGGACAATAATTCAAATAGTCACAGCCACGGGCAGGCCAGATAGCTCAGCAGACCAACAGGCCTGCTTAGGCAGACACAGGGAATGGTTGCCATCCCCAGTGTGCTGTTCCAGCCCAGCCCTGGGGCACACTGAGACAGCGAGTGGGTGTGGTGGCACCCGCCTGTAATCCCAGCGCTTGGTTGGCTGAAAACAGGAAGATCACTACAAGTCCAATCTAGGCAGTGAGACCCTATAGACCCAGTAGACCCTGTATCAAATACATTAAAAAAAATTCATAGCCACAATTCTCCTTCTTCTGGGACACTGAAGAAGATTCCCGATAGTAGCTAATGGCCCGGGTGGGGTGTGAATTCCACTCCAATCTTAGGCAAGCACTCATTCAACCTTCAGGTAGCTGCATCCTCAGACAGAGCCTCTCCAGGGACCACAATGACAGTGACCACACAGTGCCTTCTTACACCAGGCGACAACTCGACTTAGGAATGGTAACACTGTTTTAAAGAACAGCAGAACACTATTTAAAGTTGGTGTTTTCTTATTGTATCACGCAACAGACAATAACCATGCTCACCATGAAGTAGCCATCCCGTCACGTCCTGGCCCACTGCCGCAGCGCCACCCTGCTGTCCTGTGGGCCAGCCTCGAGCGTCCAAAAGGAGGAGAAGGAGGAGAGAGCAAGAAAGAGAAGAGGAAGGAAGGTGGGAAGGAAAGCTTGGCTTTTCTGTAACAGTCACACCCAGCTCCCTGTCTGCATCTGCTTCTCAAGGACAGATTAAAACACACATGCACAAACGTTCCCCTTCCAAAACACTCCCCATCTTCCGCCTGAAGTACAACCTCTCGGTGCTGCACATGGGCCCCTGTAAGCCACCACAGCCTTCAGAGGAACCTAGGAATCTGCACCTGCAGGGCTCAGGGCCAGCTTTTCTCCCAAATGCAACAGCCACGCTGTGCCCCTGTGAACCTGCCTTCTACGTCACCTTCCCCTGACAACAGCCCTCTGCAGTTAACTCTGAAAACATTCTGAAAAGAAAACCCTTCCCAGCCTCAGGGGTTTTGTTTGTTTTTGTTTGTTTGTTTGTTTTTTGTGGAACTGGGGATTGAACTCAGGCCCTTACACTTGCCAGGGAAGCACTTATTCTACTGAGCCATCCTCCCCGGCCCCTAGGTGTTTTCATTTTAGTCACATTTCTAATAAAGGTGACATACAAGATGTCACCACACCGCAGAAAGAAAACAGCCATGGCTGGAAACTGGGAGAGAAAGAAAGGGCCACCCTACAGCCGGGTGTCTTCATGACTTCCCTGTAAGAAATAAATTTTCAGGGCTGTGGAGATAGCTCAGTGGTCTAAGTATCTGCCCAGCAAGTACAAGGACCCGGGTTTAATCCCTAGTACCAAATGCCATGCTGGACCTGAAGCTGTGTGTGGTGGTGCATGCCTGCAATCTCAGGGCTGGGGAGGCTGAGGCAGGAGGATCACTATGAGTCTGAGCTGCGTAGTGAGATCCTGTACCAAATAAGTAAATAAATAAATGATTAAAAAATGAATTTTCATCACGACCCTTATGTAATATGTACTTTTTATATAAGCACACTTTCTATATAAAATTAAAACTTCACTCAAAACAACTTTAATATATGTGATGCCCTGAGATTTTCTTGCTTAATTCTATTCACTGTTGTTGCTGTTGTTGTTATTATTATTATTATTTTGGTTGGTTTGTTTGCTTTTGTGAGACAGAGTCTCACTATGTATTTCATGCATGCCTTGGACTCACTGTGTAGCCCAGGCTGGCCTCAAACTCTTGGCGATCCTCTTGTCCCTGACTGAATGCTGGTATTATATGTCTGTGCCACCTTGCCGGGCTTCATTACGTATTAAACAACAACACCTACTGGTCACACCCCACAAAATAGTTTCCATGAGCCAGTAATGGAATAAAACTTGAAATTGTAAAACCAGAGCTGGATGAGTACTTCCCTTAGCCTTTGAGGTATCAACGAAAATAAA